GGTGCTTGATATGATTTCAATCTTCTTAAATTTATTGAGACTTGTTTTGTGTCATAACATGTGGTCTATCCTAGAAAATGTTCCATGTGCACTTGAAAAGTATGTATATTCTGCTGCTTTGGGTTAAATGCCCTGAAGATATCAATTAAATCCACTTGATCTAGTTTAAGGCTGCTGTCTCCGTCCTGATTTTCTGTTTGGAAGGTCTATCCATTGAAGTCAATGGGGTGTTAAAATCCGCAACTCTGACTGTTAAGGATTTCTGTCCATCTCTCCCTTTATGTCCATCAAGATTTGCTTCACATATTTAAGTGCTCCTATGGGCCAAGGTTTTCTATGAATCCCATTCCCGAGGAAATGGGAGGGGCACGTGTCGTATTTCAACTTTGAGTAGATACAGATTTATTTGTTTACTTCCTCATTATTTATTCTTAGTTTCAGTAGTAATGGATATAGACATGGATCCATACTTTATCTATGGCCTATGTATATATATAGAATATTTACTTCTAGGAGATATCAATACCAGGAATTCGATTTAGACCATCTGAAACTGCCAGCATCTTTGTAAACTACTGAAGCTACATTGTGACAAAATGCATTTTTCAGCTGTAATGTAATACTAATACAGAACAGGGAATCTACTCAACTCTGATGCATATGAAGCCAATGATCAAGGGCACCAAATTTCCACTCTGGAAAATTCCATTAATGACAAAGATGGCCAGTCAGTTCTCAGCCACTCATCTCAATTACTATTGCTGGTCATCAACTTCTCCCTAATACTATAGAGAAGATTTATTTGCACAATAATCTAATCACATGCTTTGTTTTAACTATTTTGATGTACATAGATAAGTCTTTAGACTACATGAGTTTGGTGGTATATTATACCACATACACCTCTTATTGATGCCTCCTTCTCTTTGGTAAGGTGAAAAAGAAAAACTTTATCTATAAAACTTTTTAAAAACTAATTATTTTTTTAGTTTTTCTTCAAATCAAAGAAGCCATTTATGGTGGAGTTTGAGCATTTATTTATTTATTTTATTAGTTATTCATCTGGGTTTGGATGATTTTAATCAAGTCTCCAAAGTTTGAAACAGGGGATTGTCTGACCTCAGGGAAAGGAAGTGTGTAAAATGTTTGCATGCTTACCTGACAGCTTATTTATTGTGGAATCCTTAGTGCTAGTCCACAATGAGATAAGGAGCTTGTCCAGAATCAGTACATTGCTTCCTTCATTAAAAAAGTCTTGCTTCTAGCAAATGTCACCTTTTTGTTACACAGAGCTGAACCCAACCCCCACAGAGCCTCGCCTTATGACTGCAGAATAAATGGCGGCCCAGTGTTCCTACAGCTCAGGCAACCTGTCTGTGCCCCGGGCCCTGAGAAGGATGGCACTGGTAGGGTGGAGAGGGGGAGTGTCATCCAGGAGCTCAGTGTGTGAGAAGCGTAACCCAGATGTCAGCAAAGAGGGTGCGGAGGTTGTATAGGCTGCTCGAGCCCTAAGATCAACACTTCGTGATGGCTGGGGCTCTAGCAGGGGAGAGAGTGAGTAAGGGCCAAAATCAGCCTCAAGGGCCCTGGAGTTCCTGCAGATAAGGGGATGAGAATCGCTTCCCTGTGAGAGGGCTGCAGGGGATAAGACAGGATGTCCTCGGGGCATAGCCGAGGTTTTATTTGAGTCAAGTAAAGGGAAGTTTAAGGAGAGCTCAGGGGTGACAGGTAGCAATCCCAGAAGGCCCCATGGAAGGGTCTGTGAGGGAGGTGAAAGGGTGGCATTGACCCCGACTGGGGCACTGACAAGCACAGCTGGGATGAGAGGGTGGATAAGGAGGGACACCCTGAGAGTGTACCGAGGACTTCCTGTGGTGATTGCAGGACACAAGAGGTGAGGCAGGTTGGGACAAGTCCTGATGCTCTTTGGAGGAGGATGGAAAGAAATTCTTAGCTCAGTGATGTGACCGCTTCCAGGTAGTCGTTGTCCCCACTCCTGACACCTTGGAGAGTTGGGCTGCTTTATTGCCTATATACTCGATAGGCTGTTGTCAATTGACTGAAATAATACAATTAAACAGTGTTTGCCTGCGGTCTTATTATCATTCACCACATATTTCAACAAATATTTAATAGCACCAACTGTAAAGTACTGTGACACCCTGTCAGGAATGCAAGTACAAACACAAAATTGTTACCTGTGTCCCTGGATAGCTTTCAGTCGTGTACAATAAAAGAGAGATTAATTTTGTTTAGGGGGAATACATTGGCAAAAGGCCATTTGTGTGGTCTATTAGTTCCCAAACCAGCAAAGTAAATCAATGCAAAAAAGCCATTTCTTAAAGAAAAGATGCATTCACTGCTTTCAAGGTCAACATGAAAAAAACAGTCTCATCAATTTTAGTTTTGGAGATGATGAAATTTTTTTTATCCATAGTTTTATAAACTTATTCCCTCCCCTCCCACACACACTTTTTCACTCTCTTGGAAAATATTTTTAAAAAGAAGAATAAAATGCAAATCAAATGAAAAAAAGTTAAATACTTGCCTTGATCTGGTTAGAGTATAAAGTAAATCAAGTGGCTATTTAATTCCCAAAGAACATGTGACAACCATGAAGTTAAATATTAGAGTTAAATAGGACAGCTAATTCTCTGCAAGAATTACATTTATCTCTTTATATGGGCACTCTACTTAATGAACACATTTCTCTCCTATTAAATCCAGGCATTTCTATTAGAGCATGAGATATTAATTAATATGCATTCTTACATTCATTAATATTGTTGCTCATAAAAGACTTTTTGATTTTTATCACCCTGAGTTCCCAGAGGCCTGTGGAAGCCGTGGTTGCTTCAAACCACATGAATTACCAGGGGGAAAATCCTATTAAAGTAAAACCTTAATCACCACTTGCATTTTATATTAAGTTGTATCTAAAAAGAAACTGTAGAGCATATTCATCAATGCAGAATGGATAAAACAAATGTTGGCATAGTCCTTCCACAAAATATTATAAAGTAGTAAAAGCAAAAGAATTACTACTAGGCACACACTGTAACTCAATAAAACAACCTAAAGGACATTGTTGATTGAAAGATGCAAGATATGGAAGAATACATACAGTATGATCCCATTTATGTAGGTTCAAAACCAAGCAAGGCCAAACAACAATCTGTTAAGGTATGTCATTAGTAGCCAACCTATAAAAAATGATTGACACAAGTTCAGCTTAGTAGTTATTATCCCTGAGAGGAGAATAGGGAAGTGGGTACCATCAAAAAGAACACAGTGGTGCTTCTGAGTATTAGTGATACTGTTTCTTAAATGGGAAGTTGGTTTTATGATTATTCATTTAATTATCATTATTTAAACTGCAGAGATGTGCTTTGTATTTTCTTTTCTTTCTTTCTTTCTTTTTTTTTTTTTATAATGCAGTTCGTACTCAAGGGGAAAAAAAAAAAAAAGACTTGTAAAGAAAGGTTATCCAATTAAACCAGAGTAACAAATCCTTTCTCTGTACTCAGCAGGGAGATAACAGGAGATAGATTGGGCTTGTCTTAACCTCAGGGAGTTTGCAGATGTGGAATAATTGACAGATAGTCAGAATTCAACTAAGTACAAGCCATGATATCATATGAGTCCAGAGGAGGAGGTCTTTGGTGGTCAGAGTCATCCTGGAAAGCTTTCTGAGAGAGTAAGGATTTGAACTGGCCTTTGCAGGGTGAACAAAGCAGAGAGGAGGCAAGAAGATCATTTTGGCTATTTACTATATTACTTATATATTCTTATTTCTCTTGTCATGCTTCATACCGTGTACAACTGAAGAGAAACTCTGTGGTGTAGAAGAAAAAACATGGACTCTGGATTCAGACAGACCAGAGTTCAAGTCCTAACTCTTCATATCCCACAGGGGATCACTGGAATTCCTGCAGAGAGGAATGCCTCATGGGGTTGTGAGAGTGAAATGAGAGAGCATTATAGGCCACACATTCCAAGCTCTAAAGGGTGATGCAATCTCTTTTTAATACTGCCATTCAGGGATGAGGAGTTCAGAAAAGAATGGTGGCCGATGACCTGGTGCTACCCCTCTGCTAAGGGAGTTCCTATTTGTTACTCTGGTGAAGAGGCACAACCCGGCACTGCAGTGCCGTCCTCTACAGTCTCCTCTGGGCTTCTCCACGGGCTCTATCCTGAGGACTGCTGTGCTCTGCTTTCTGCCTCACAGCTAATGGGCTCCCAAGGACCTTTGACTGCCTTCTGCCTTGTTTCCCAGAAAGGCAGATGGCTGAGTGACAAGAGCCTGCTCTGCTCTATGCTGAGGGAAGAAATATTCTCTCTTCCCCAGAAGCATTCTTTGTTTTGGAGAGCCAAGACTAGGACACAATCTTAGAAAGGGACTAAGAAAGGCAGCTTTTAGCACAGGCTGGACATTACTGGTCCCAACAAAGTGAATTACTCAGGATCAACCACAGTCTAACCCATTCACCAGGAGGCTAGCACTGGGGTGAAGACAAAGCCTGAGTTCACAATGCAGGTCTCGTATTTTCCTTTTGTGTCCTCTGAGCCCCTCTCCCTCAGGAGTCTGAGGCAGCTTAACAAAGAATTAGGGATTCCTGGCTATCTCTCCGCCTTTCCCCACCAGACACATGACTAACAAATATATGCAAAGCATCTGGCTTGTAAGAGGCCGGCCATTAAGGCCCATTTCTTTTTCATTTTTCCCCTTTTCTAGTCTGTAAAGTCCATTGATGACATTCTGCAGCCAACAGCTAAGTCATTACTTTAGTTCTATCAAAAACAATAAATGAGCTCTGGAGAGCAAGCTGATGCAACAACCTCCCAGCTGTTTGGGGTGGGCAGGGAAGAGGGACACTGGGCTTCTCCTTCGGTTTGCTGGGTGCAGAGAAGAGCTCAGGATACAGGCTGCTGACTGCCCACCCTCTGCCTTCACCTCTGTGTGCTTCGATTCCAATTTCCATTCTGTCTTTGTTTTACAGTTGTTCAGCACATCAAGCGACATAACATTGTTCTGAAAAGGGAGCTAGGCGAAGGAGCCTTTGGAAAAGTTTTCCTAGCTGAATGCTATAACCTCTGTCCTGAACAGGACAAGATCTTGGTGGCAGTGAAGGTAAGAGAACATTCCAGAATGTCTCATTATCCATGGTCACAATAATGTGTGGAAGTGCTACTTGATTTTAGTGGCCAATGAAGGAGCAAATTATGTTTGCTGTGAAGGATGTGTTCAAATTCTTTTAACTCAATGGACAGTGAGAAAGATATTTGGGGTGCATCCAACTATTGAAAGTTCCTTTAGGGGCAATCTATGTCTTCAGGCTGTGACTGGCTGTGAGCTACTCTTCCACATCTATTTTAGCTGAATTCTGGATGGAGGTCATTGGGGTCAGACAGAATTCAACCAGCTAAGTCTTGGAGACTCAACCTTTCTCCTCAGATTTCTCAGTGCTTGTGCCCAGCTCAGCTGGACCTTGTCTTATGTCAGTGTTCTGGAAGAGAGGCTATGGAGTTCAATCCCTCTCTCAGCCTCTGTTCTGCTGAGATCTGTTATGCCTTACCTGTCCCTCCCAGGTGTTTCCAAGGCCCCAGGACTGCATGTACTGCAGGCATGATATCATCCTGGGTGCATGGCATTTCTAGTAGATTCTGCCACCCTAACAAATACAAGGTTTTACTAAAACAAAAAAACCTGAAATTCCTTCGTCATAGCCATTTTATCAAAAACTCAAACAGGAGACCTGATCTTCAATAAGGTAAACATTATTGAAGGGGACAAAATTTCCACTGAGCTCTCTAAAACACAAGAGTTAACAAAAATAACACAAAAAGCCCTTTAGATCTTTTACATATGCATTGTCAAAATTTAAAAAAAAACAACTCATGAAGGAATTGAATAACATATGTAAAACACTTCAGAGAGGCATATATTTTTAAAATGAATTAAGTGGCAAATGAATATGAACATAGCTAATGTAATAATACGCAATTTCTTGGCTTAATATAAGATGATTAAATGGGGGAGTTGTTTGCATGTTCCTTTGCTGCTGCCAAATACAGAATATTTGTATGAATAACATTAGTTTACTAGTTATAGCAGGACAATTTAACTTTTTTAATCAAGTGTATATTTCATTACTGTACTTAGCATTAAAGTACTTCAGTATATACAAAATAAGTAGCTGAGGGGAGAGATAAAATTATTCTTGAACTAACCCATCCAGCAGGCTAAACATAGTTTCTGTTAAAGCCCATCAAAATGAAAACTGTGCATTTGCTTTTCTTGCCATCAAGAGTAAGTAACCTGAGTGGAATCAGTACTACAGTCTCAGAAAAGGCTCCTAAAATCTGCACTTTGGAGTGAATAAAGGTCAGGCCTTTGCAGAAATGATAAATGTAATAGCTATCAAATCAACATTATCTCAGTAAGATAGCAAATGGGGGAGGGGAGGTGCTGAGTGAGACAGAGGAGAAAAGAGAGGAAAGGAGATGGAGGAGAAAGGTAAGGCCAAGTGGGTCAAGGTGTAAAGTAAGAATTCTTCAGTGGCTTTGGGAATGTTTAATCCCTGCTATTGCTTGCTCTTTCATTTACTCAAAAAGTTTGTTATTTTTAAAGCACGAAATGTTCAGAACATTTGGCAGTGTTAAATCTTCAGTCTTTGCTTTCTTCTTCTGCTAACTTTGTTTTCTCTTTGGATAAATAAGACAAAAAGGTACCTCTATTTTTATAGATTCATAGACTAATGAAATGTGAGAGCTAGAAGAAGCTTGGAGAACGTCTACTTTGAATCTAACCATGTGTTCTAGACAAGGAGACTAAAGACTGTGGATTTATGTTCTGGGCCCATGTTTCCCACTGCTATTAGCCACCAGGGAGCTAACTCAGGCCTTCACCCTCTGAATTCATTTCATGGGGTCACCAGGTGAGAGGCTTTGAATGTAAGAAAATCATGGGAGATTAAGGAATCCTAGGTGACAGTGTAGGAGTAGCTGAGAGACCTCAGCCAGACATATAGATGCACACAATTTCTTGGTATAAACTTTCATCTTAGTATCATTCCTTATTCTCTGCCTGCCTCTCTGTACTTCTTACAGTGCCCTTAAGGAAAGGGTGTTGAATAGCTAAACCCGGTCACCCTCAATGTGTATGTTACATTTCCTCCCAAACACATGCTAAGATAGGACATCAGGGCTTGGGCTAGTAATGACAAAGGATTATCCTGTGAGAGCAATGCATGGCCAGTTGTCCTGCCCACAGCGAGCTTCCACCTGGGCTTATCTCTCATCACTACTGTCAGCCAGGTTTCTCTCTGGTTTAAATCCCAATCATAGCCTTAATCATTCTTCTGACCCAAACCCAAAAGCTAGTCCTCATGCAGTTCCTGGCTTTGCCAAATAAGTGTCTACAAATTAATGATCTATGAGGGATGTTTGTTCTTTAATTAACACTGCTAAACAAAACTAAACCGAAAAAAAATGGATCTGCCCCTTTATCAAACCCTGACTTCTTCTCTTTTTTAGTCCCCTTCTTGAAATTTGAAGGAAACTATTATCTCAAGCAGAGGACAAAGTGCCTACAGCTTAAAAACTCATTCCACTTGCAAGGCCATACACCTAGGAAGTCTCATCCCACTAACTTGGAATGTGCGTTCTTGTTGAAATCAGAGGCTTTGTTTATGTTTGTTAGAATGATTACAAGCTTTCGAGAGGATGCCCATTTTAACTTTCTGGGATCCAGAGGCTGCAGCCGTGCCAGGAACAAGTCAGATCTTCCACGGACTCCAGGATGAATTGGATCAAAATAGCACATGGATCTTTCATGGAGCTGCCTCTCGCCTGTCTGACCTGCTCATTGTTAGGGCTGTGGGCCATTTGGAAGTCCGTTCAAAGACTATCTAATGAGGCTAGGAGGAAGATTCTATGGTTCAGTCCTGACCAGAATAAAAGGATTTTTCTAAGGAGTGAAACAAAGTGGACACAGACTCCAGAGCCTGCATAGCCTGTCACCTCTGAGGAGTGGCTGCCAGGGCTGCTCTTCTTCCATTGGAGGCACCCAGGGATGTCTTTCTGTCTGTTGCCTAGCAACCTCTGCAGCATTGATTATGCATGCTAAGAAATAGCAGCTATTGTCCTTTTTCCTTCTCTGGAAGGAACTGACTGGTTTGAAATCCAAGGCTTTGCATTCAGACTGACAAATGTCAGGTTCCTATAAATTCTGGTGTTGCCTGCTCCAAGTGATTTAAGAGCTTGAGGTTTCCACAGGAACCAGTGTAAGATGCAGACGAACCTAAGGCATGTGCAGGGCACTCAAGGGCACATGGAGGCAGAGCTTGCCTCTTCCATTAGAGTATCTGCATGTTTGGATTCAACCAGATTGCCCTTTTCTTGATATTTTTGGATGACCTTCAGCTTTTTAGTGAAATGGATTTGTCAGCCATTTCTCCCTTTACACTGAATTACAATTGAAGAACCCACAGAGAGGATGAGAAGCAAAGAAACCAGTCTTTGATCAAAATGAGTTACTTTACCTTTAAGTACCTCAATTGTCAAGGAAACGTTTCACTGTAGTTTCCCTGTATTAGATGCATTAGCTATTTTTGGCTCTACCCAACCTCCATTTCAATAGCTAGAATTCCTACATTTTTACTGTATTATGAATGCATGCTAATTTTTGTTTTTAAAATATAGCCACAAGTACTGCTGGATTGATAGCATCTTTTTCCCCTGTCCACTAACTCAGGTATATTTCCAGAAACATCAAATGCTAAATATGAGAGAGCCCTTAGAAATCATACATATAATCCAAGTCTCCTATTTGATGAATTAAAAAAACAAGACCTGGGGAAGTCAAGTGACTCCCTCAAGGTGGAAGTTAAAGTGAGAGGTGCTACACAGGAAGACTTAACAAGATGAGAAATGGAGAAATCTAGGTTCAGGAGGCACTTTGTTTGGGATCTAACTTAGAATTTTTGCTTTTCATGTTTCTGAATATCTGCTTGTCAGCAGACGACCTAATGATGATTTTCTTCATGAAGGAAATTCTTTTGGAAGAGTTGATGGATAAACCCTCTGGCACATTACCATGAGGCAGCCACAAAGTACCATCCGAGACATTGCTGCCATTCCGGGTCTGGAGGGTCCCAGCCCACCCCCTTGGTCCATACAACTCCCACGAATCCATCAGCTCTCAGTTCAAGGTGCTCCTGTTTGGGGAGACCTATGATTGCCTGCTCCCTCACCTAGGTCAGATCCCCCTATTATATACTCTTAAGGCATCTATATTGTCCTTTATGGCATTTGTCAAGATTGTTAATTATATATGTATTCATGGGCTTATTTAATCAATGGCATGAATGTCTGCCTCCTCCACTGAAGTGGCATATTCCTGAGGGTGAGAACCATGTCTTTTAGCATGTGGCCTAATATGTGTAACATGCAGTAAATGCTTGTTAAATGAATGTAGGGATGGATGGCTAAATAGATGGACAGACAGACTATAGAAAAAGTAAAGTCTTGGCAGTTGGCATTTCTAGGTAAGGAAATGATTTGATGAGCTATTGATATTCATATAATTTTATAGCTGAGAGGAACTATAAAGATAATATGTACAGAACAATGTAATCTAATGAAGAATCATTTTAGAAATTATCAAATCACTGTGCAAATACATAGAGCTATTACTGATATTCTTTAGCTTAACTCCCACATTTTGCCAATGAGGAAACAGGAACCCAGAGTAGATAAAGGACCCACCCAAAGGCACATAGCTTGCAGGAGATCATTTAATGTTAGACCTGGCACTAAAACTCTGGTTTCCTCATGCCCATTGTGCACCACAGTTTTATTTATCAAATTTTACACATTCCCTGGTACACTAAATGGAGAAAATTCAACACAATACCACTTATCAAATAATGCAAAGGAATGTGTTAGTTGTTCTCATTTGCATGTAAAGATAAGAGATACTCACATGTTTTCCAAGCAAAAGTATAATTCAAGGGAATAAGTAGAAATAAGGAAAATTGGATCTTGGAATGAGGGCTTTGGCTTCAGCAAAACATCATAATCAGCTTTGAGGAGAAGAGCAGTGTAATGCTCATTGGAAACCAACACAAG